TCCGGCTTAGGCGGACCTGTGGATCAAAACCAAGACTAAGTTACGTGTACGAAGTTATTACGTTATAACCACAGGAATACAGGATTACAAAAGGAACAGTGAACTCTGCTACTGTGTGCAAATGTCATTTACAGTATAAGCTAACAAAACATGCAGGCTGCTCCGTTTTATAACCGTCAGCGGCAGCCAGTGACACTCGCTCTCTTCTACCTTTTCTGGTAGCGTTTAACAGGCGATAAAGCAGGGGCCACTTACCAATGAATTTGTGTTGTGCCATGGTTGAAATTCTCCCAGAAAGAACTACACATGCAGCTCTCACCAATCCCATAATGCCGCAATACCGTAATAACTGTAACAGACCGGATCACTGTTACTGAAAAAGATTTTCGGCTACTCTTCTCATCTTATCCAAACATTTTAGACAATATCGAAAACATTTCGACGTATGAAGATAATTTACACTTGTATAACTTACACTTAATGCGTGACCAAAAAGAAATGTAATATATTCGTGCTGCTTTTTTTTTAATATTTACGGGTTTAGCTTCGAGGTGCCACAAAATCCCAGAATCCTTCGCGCTGCTCGGCGAGAAGGTGACAGGGGACGGCTAACATGGCCTCTGCCTATCTCACCCACCAGCAGAAAGTGCTGCGGCTTTACAAGAAGTCCTTGAGACACCTCGAGTCGTGGTGCATATTTAGGTAAGAAGGGCTTCTTAGTTAGTGTAGGACTGTGGAAAAATATAGATTATCGGTGTTTTACATGCAGTAAGTTCACTGTCCTGCTAAGCTAACAGCGAAGCTAGCCGCTGCTAAGCCAGGTCACTCATTCCTCAAGTCTGACAGTTACACCTCCAAAGTGTTATCTTTGTTTCTCCACTTGTCATTCAGATGGGAATGTGCGTAAGAAATCGCGAAGTTGCAATAGTTTCATTTTAATCTTTTTGAGCAGGAGTCAGTATATGTTACTTGTATTTACATGGCGCCAGCTAGCGTCAAAAGCGGCTAATAATAAAGTTCTAGCTGAGCTCCCACTTGGCTCAGCTGCAGACAGGTTATTAAACACATTACTCTACTTAATCATCAGAGGCACTAGTCTAAACTTTATGTGGAAAATACTCCAAAGTTAGTTGTCATGATGTTTAATATTTAGGATAACTAGTATTCATTCAGTCACTCGGATGTAGCGTTATTTGTGTCAGTTCTGGTCCATGTGAATAAATGAAAGGCTTTCATTGGTGAAAGATCAATACATACAGTTAGGTCAGTAAGATTTTGAACATTTATCCATCCATCCGTCATCTTCTATTTATATGGAGTTAGGTTGTGGTGTCAGCAGGCTAAGTATTCCAGATATCCTTCCCCACACCTATATTTTCCAGTACCTCCTGAGGTGTTCCTAGATCACATGAGATCTCCAACGAGTTCTGAGTCCACCCCAGGGTTTCTTTCTGGTTTATCAGGAAGCATCCTAACATGATGCCCAAGCAACTTTGACCATCTCCTTTTACCACACGGGAGCAGCGTCTCTGCTCCAAAATCTGTTATGCTGAGCTCAGACACTGTATGGAGGAAACTAGTTTCAGCCTCATGCATTTGAGAGCATACCTTGTCTGTCAGATTTCATTAACATCGGTGAGGTCTGGGCTCAGACTGGTAAATTGAAAAGTTGTCCTTTCTGCTCTCTTTACCATCCCAGCCTCATACAACACACACATTACTGCTGACGCCACACCAATCCATTGGTCAAACTCGTGCTCCACATTACAGATTTAATATTACACTAGTAGTCAGCCAGTATTTAAATTATTATTAGAGTTTTGTGCTTGTTTCGAAATATAACCTGCCTGCAGGAGCTTCACATTATGAAAAGAGATGAACAGAAGAATCAGTATCAGGGTTTTAATGTTACCCACCAGGTTACCCACGTCAGCATAGAGTCTTTCTAATGAGGATTGAAGGCTGCTCTTTTACGTTGAGATGTTATTTATGTTGATTGCAAGAACAATAATATATATTTTCATTTTAGAAAAAGTAAAGAGAAAATTGTTCATTTTCCTTCTTTAGAGTTTGTTTTTAAGATGTTTTGCACTGATGATATTAAGTTTTAAGAAAAGTCTTATTGTCTATTTTTATAGATAAAATTCATATGTAATGTTTCTGTTAGTATAAAATATACACATGCTTATATTTTAACACTTTTTTTCTCTTGATGTCATGTAGTTGCTTCAAACATGTTGGTGGTCTCTCTTGAGGTCTGACTGTTGTTTTGTCATTATAGAGACAAGTACCGTTTCTATGCCTGCTTACTGCGGGCTCGCTTTGATGAAAACAAGACTGAGAAGGACATGGTGAAGGCCACCATGATGCTAAAGGCAGGAGAGGAGGAATTCTGGACCAACCAACATCCTCAGCCCTACATCTTCCCCGACTCTCCTGGGGGGACCTCATATGAGAGATACGAGTGCTACAAGGTAAAACAGAGCAACCATGACATTATTTCGTACTGCATCTAACTTTCTTTTTTCTGGACCCAACTTCTGGTCTGTTTGAACTAACTGGGAACAATTACAGGAAAACATTTGATGTTAGAAACTTGAAGTGAAAACGCTGGCTGTCCTAATGTTGGATAGAGACGTGTCTGTGAGCTCTGCTTTGTCTCTGTAGGTCCCAGAGTGGGTGCTGGACCACTGGCACCCCTCGGAGAAGGCCATGTATCCTGATTATTTCTCCAAGAGAGAGCAGTGGAAGAAACTGAGGATGCAGAGCTGGGAGAAAGAGGTGGGCAGCAAACATTTACATGCCAGCATTACTTTTGACCTCCTTGTTTAACCTGGTCTCCTTTGCCAATGACAAGAAAGGTGCTACTCCTTGTTTACTGTTCCATATAGCTCAGCTTTTAGACTCCTCTTGGTTTTCTACTCTTGGATTCGTATGACGTCATTGAGAGCAGATAATCCTAGACTTGGTCACAGCTTAACGAGAGCTGAGTTGATTGGTTAACTAGGTTAATTGGTGATTTTAAATTGGCTGTAGGTGTGAATATGAGTCTGTCTCTCTGTGTTAGCCCTGTGATAGGCTTGTCTCTCACCCTATGACATCTGGGATAAGTTCCAGCCCCTCTACAAACCTGATTGGATAAATGGTTAAGAAACTTGATGGCTGGAGATAAATGGCTTGTTTTAGACAGGATGATCTAAGGCCTGTATAAGATAAATAGGAATTATTTTGAACTGTAAGTCATGCAAAGCTATACAAGCAGAGCCCAATGCTGAGAACATGGAGCTGGAACTGAATGTAAGGGTCCCTGTTGATGACCAACTCCAGTAGGTGGCACCAGAGTGCTTTTGTTGGACTGGAAACTTCAGGTCACCATTTCCTTCCTTTTACTTCCAGGTTGCCCAGCTAGAGGCTGAGACCCCTGCTGTTGGACCGAAGTCCGAAGCTCTCCCTCCTGCCCGCAAAGAGGGCGACCTCCCCCCTCTGTGGTGGCAGTTCGTCACCCGTCCCAGGGAGCGCCCCACATAAAGGATCTTTTTCACGTGGGCCTGCTCAATCCTGCAACCTGAAGAAAATCTCACAACAACAGCATGAAGACAGGCTGACCCGTCATTACCATCTGTCTGTACAGAGTCGTTTCTAAAGGAGTTCACCGGTGCAGGTTGCATTAATTAAGAAAAACAGCCTTTGTGAATTCAGAGTGACTAAGAAGTCCTGTAGATGTACCAGTTAATTCCTGTTCTAATAAATATGTGTATTAAAACTGACTGTGTGTTTTACTGCAGCTGAAACGTTTTGGTTTGTCAGACGTTTATTAGGTGTACCTGAAGGTCTGATCGACCAGATCATTTTACATGTTTCAGGAGTAAACAAAGTGACAGTCAGAGCAGTGCCTTAATAAATGTTACTTAACATTTAATTTAACGAAATATAAAAGGCTCACAGTTCGCTTTTACATGTTGAGACAAGCAGAGTTTTTGTAGATCATTAAAGCGTTGAAAGGCATTCTAGTCGTTATCGGGAGAGTATGACCTTAAATGTCATTAATGTTTAAAACACCAAACTGAACCCTAAGCTGTTCTCAAACTCTGAGAGTGACCGCACTGTCACTTAAAATGATTGCCCACAAATCTGTGGTGTTACCGTTGATGGCCACAGACACGTGTCCTTGGTTCTTGTTAAACTGGCCTAGAGAAAAAATTCCCGAAGCTGTAGGAACCCTGTGAACACGCTCATTAACATGTGCTATTTAATTTGCTTGATAACAGAAATGGTAGTTTGTGGACCTGTGGGTTACTGATGTTAGCTGTGAAATCAAGTGTCACCAGTTGGTTTCTGTACCAGCTGCTGCTCATGTTTCAGGAAATCTTCATCCTTTAAATTCCTCCAAACCAACAACGTGGAGCTTTCACTACTTTCTGAGTTGACTGTGCGTCTCAGGTTCAAGTCCAGTGGTGTGTCAGTTTGAATTCAAAGTGATTTCAGGGCACTTGGTGTGGTTAAGAAAATCTTTAAGCAAGCATTTTATGACTGAGAAATCCCTGCAAACAGCTAAAAAATAATCAGTTTTATTCATCATTTATGTTTAAAAAAAAGCAAAAAGTTATACAGAAGGAAATGATGCATTTTTGGGGGAATATTTCCAGTACATAATTGATCCTGGTACAGTTACTTCTGGAAGCTCTTAGTTGCTCAGCTCAAGTGCTGCTCATTGGGCAGTTATTTGTGCAGTTAGTTTGGAAGAAATATCTGAATCAGCTTACATTTCAGTGGCCGATGACTTTTAAAACAGCCTGTGCAGAATCACCAGTCACTTTCTAGAAAAATGTTTTCAAAAATCATCTTTGCTGCTGCAGAATCCTTCAGTGTCATTGAGAGTGTTTCTATGGCGACAGGCGTGGCCTGAAGTTATGTGGTCGTGCCATCATGGTGACCGCCTTCAGAGAGTAGAAGTCTGAATCCTTCCAGGAGAACCAAACAATGCCATCTGGCCCCAGCAAGTTCTGAGCTTTCAGAGAGTAGTGCCCCCCCTGATGGAGACACGTGGAAGCATCAGTCTAATTTCACCATCAAACCATTGTTTCTTTTATTTCATACAAATTTACTGTTATTCTCACAATTTCTGGCAGAAAAACAACTTTGTAAGACTAGAACTTACCTTGTAGTAGACACCGTTGAGGTTAGCATAGAAACACTGGTGGAACCACCAGCCAGCGTGGCTGATCTCAGCACAGATGTTGCCCGTGTCTGGTGTGCTGAAACCCTGCAGGTCATGATACCAGCCGAACGAATCCTCCGCTGTCCCGCTGAAACCGGACACATGCAGGCGGTACTGGTTGTCCTCATCCTCGATTCTGCAGCGAGAGGAAAATGATCAAATCAAAACTATTCAAGGTTGGCTGATGATTTACTCCTGTTGTACTGTGCCAAACAGCTACTACTGTTTATAATAAGGTAGATGAAAGCCACAAGGTGGAAACGTTAGTGCCTTTTCAGTTTTTATTGCATGTGACAGTTTTCGTTAAATGCAGCTCTGAATATAGTCTGTAAATCTGAATATAGTTCTGGGTCTGCAAAGAGAAGCCAGTGCGGACGTACACCTTCATTCTTTAACCAGCAGGGGGCAGTCTCTTCTGGCAGCACAAAGGTGTCTGGGTGTGTAGAAATCTATAACAGAACAAATCTACCATGCACTTTCAGTTTGAGGTTTTATGTATTGTTTAATCTTCTTTCAGCTGCTCTCTTTAGGGGTAACCACAGCAGACTACCTGCCTCCATCTCACCCTGTCCCCAGTATCCTCCAACACTACACTCATGCATCTCCTCTGTGCGCTTCTCCTTTCCTCCTGCCTGGCAGCTCCATATTCAACATCCAGTATATCCTCTATTCCTCCTCTGCACAGGCTCAAACCGTCTCAGTCTCACCACTCCAAGCTTTTTCTCCAACCCTTCAGCATGACCTGTCCTTCTGATGAACTTATTTCTAATCCCGTCCATCCAAGTCACTCCCAGTGAAAATCTTAAGATCTTCATATCTCCTACGTCCAGCTCGGCCTCCTGCCTATTTGTTAGTGCCGCTGACTCCAAACCATAAATCATAAACCGCTCTTATTGAATACAGTAGGATCTTTTTTTTGTAAGTGATGCTCCTCGTTAGTGCCGAAAAGGAGTATAAGGCAGGTTTGCTTTAGGGCGAGCCTGCAGTGACATCAGCAAGTCCCTATTATTTGAGCATGGAGCATCCCTCAGTTTTTCAGTTTTCATCACTTCCTGTTTAAAAACAACAAGAGAGTGAAAATCAGACAGACTTCACCACAGGTCTTCATTAACCATCGTTAAGAGCATCTCTCTTACTGAGTAAGTAACTGTCCAGTTCCTGTGCATTTACCACCTTTCATTCTTCTATTGTGTCTGTTTACCTGAAAGCGTGGTACAGAGCATGTTTGTGGGCGTGGCTCCAGTCCTGCAGGTCAATGCGGAGGCTGTAGTGGCCCTGGTTAGACAGCCGGTGCAGGTGCTGGTTCCCCAGCCAGTGTTCACCTCGCGGCTCGCCAAAGCCATCACGGTACTCAGACCATCCACGGTTGAAGCTCACTGACCCATCACGGCGCCGCTGCAACACTGTCCAGCCTCCACCTAGTGCACACACACACACACACATAGAATTGTGTAAAGTGTGTGTAGTATCTGAGTGTTTCCATTACTGGCACTAGTATTGCAGGAACACACCAGCTGTCTCACCCTCGGTCTCCATGTCGCAGTAGACCGGCCGGGCGGTGCCTGGTGACAGGACAATGGTGTAAACACCAGAACGACGGACACCGTTGTGATACAGAGACGCACAGTCTGATGGACAGAAAGACAGGGGCTGTACATCTGAAGGGAGACGGACAAAGTTAAAATGTACTGTGAAACATCAAATATCCCACAATTCATCACTGCGTTTGCTGCTGGTGCACCTGGCGGCAGTGTGTCTCGCATGCCGAGCGGTGGCGCAGTCCTGATCACGTTGACCTTGCAGCACGTGTTGTGACTCATGTGGCGCGCGGTTGCCGACAGGTTTCGGAGCTGCACCTGCAGCTCGTACAGCAGCGCCGCGTGCACGTGGAGCAGCGTGTCGGCCTCGGCGTGACGGCGCTCCAGAGAACGCAACCGCTGGTGAAAGGTTGAGTTTAAGTTAACACTTTCTTCACCCTGAGCAGTGCAATGAGAGAAGATTCACCTTACTGTGTGGTCATAGTGAGGTTAGTCAAATAAATCCCTGACAAAAGCAAATAGAAAGTAAAAAGAAGCTGAGATGGAGGAAGCTAGTTACCTTTTAGTCAGACAACTTCAGCTTGCTTCATTTGTGTGTTATAAAAAGCCAACGTACCATCATTTTATTGTGAATGTTATTATAATGGGAACAACAGTAACTAAATATAGCCCTCTGCTTAATAAAAGTGGGGTCAGCTGATCTCTAAGATGAACAGTAACACAGTTTAAAGAGTAATTCCTCCTGTCAGCTGACCTCTGTCTTACCAGGTGTTCCACAGGGCTCGGTGCTCAGACCACTGCTGTTTAATATCTACATGTTTCCTTAGACAAAAAGTTAACCACTTCAGCTGCTACTGAGCTCTAGACTGAGGAGGAAGGTTTGGCGGAAACGTAAAGTCCAAATGCCTCTGTGACCGAACTCAAGGTTGAAACTTGGTTTTATAGGTACATAATATTATTTGTTCTAATTAATTATTTATTAGTTTTAGAAGCCTGCAAGGACCCATTGTGGGTTGGGCAGACTGAGAATAATGTAGGACCCCGGCCTGCAGCTAATCCTGTTAGCGTTCAGGGTTAATGAGGACTTAGTGAGTGTCAAGACAGAGAGATATAGCGAGATAAAGGAGAGCGTTGTATTTACCTGCATGAGTAATGTTCTCCACCCATTTAGATAAAAATCTTTTTTATTCCACTTTATTTAATTTATTTTCTTTTTGAAACTCCAAAGATTAAAACATGTGTTTCCTGTTTCACTTTGTTCACTTTAATCGTGCATATGTTGTTCTTCTCTGTGTTTGGAGGATTTATTTTTCTCTTTTCTTCAGCACTAATTATAAGTAATCACACTACTAGAGACTAACTGTACTTTTTTCACTCAAACTGATTTCTTGAATCAGGATTTATTTCTTTGCTTTGGAGATATGACATCACACTCTTTTTTAAGCCCACGTGTCTCAAAATACAAATCTGTTCTTTACAAAGTTCAACACGACATTTCATGAACGTGGAGTAGACAGCAGGAAGTCTACCTGCATCTCCAGGGCCTTGACTCGATGCCGGTGGTTCCTCAGCTCCTCCTGGAGTCCTGACATCGTCTCTTTCAGCTCTTCCAGCTGCTCCTTTCTGTTTTCGTTCTCATGGAGCCAATAGGAGACGTCGTCTGTACACCGGAACATGTCTGGGCAGCGTTTTTGAGAATTTCCTACAGGAGGAAGTGTTGCCGTCAGTCGGCATTGTCCGTTAGACATCAGCTGACTGCTGAACTCGCCGCACTCTGACGCTGATGAATTGCTGATAGTCTGGTTGAAGGTTTGGTTGGTGCTATCTTCAGCGCCAGTGTTGTCATTGCGTATCACCAGTGGGGCGTCAGGGGTCAGGTCGGTAAGCGTTTCCGTAAAGGAGGTAAGAGGATGCCAGTCAGCATCCTCATAGTGGTCCTTTCTCATATCTGGCTCGTCCCAGTTTGTCTCCATGCTCGTGTCCCGTATGTCCCTGTTTGTTTGGATATTCCTGTCCGGTGCATCAGCATCGGTTTCTGTGAGGGTGTTGGGGTGGGCATCATCATCATGGGTAACATCTGAGACCAGAAAGTCACCGTCGACAGGCCGGACGCACCAAACAATCAGTAAGAAATAAAATATTAATACTTCAACCCGCTTCATTCTGAACAAATGACTCCTCCTTCCTGGCTGTTCACTTGTATCCGAGACAAATTCAGTTTACTGGTAAAATCAGTTTCAGTTACTGAGTCAGGATCAGACTCTGACATCATCGCAGAAAGATGCGGTCCAGATTTCACCCAAACGTAGGCATTAGATCCAAAACTGTGGGAGATCTGAAAGAAAAAGTAAAATAAGGTTTATTGTGACCTTTAAACTCAGAGCCACACCAGCCAGGTCTCTGTGAATGTGCGAACCCGATCCAAAACAATGAATGTGGTTTAGAGTGGAGCCACTGTTTTGAACGGAATCAGTGCATAATCAAAAGCCATCCAGGAACAAATGAACTTCTTCACATCAGTCTTACAGCTCGTCTGTTAAGATTTCTGTTTTGTTGTGCCAAAATAACATTTCACAGGCATCTTAGATTAGATTAGATTAGATTAGATTAGATGAAACTTTATTTATCCCTCGGGTGGGTTCCTCCAGGAAATTCAGTTTCCAGTAGCACAGCACCGACAGAAGTTGCAGAATGTGAGCAGAAATATACCATATACACATATATAAATACAGAGTAATACAAAAGGATAAATAGAATAAATAGGAATAAGAATACAAGGGAATTGCACATTTCAACTATTGTGTGTCTATTGCACTGTTGGATATTTAAAAATCTCATAAATATTGCACAGTGAAAAAGGCACTACAGCTCAGTTGTTGCCGCCCTCTTTCCCCCCCTGTGTCCCCTCCCTCTCCCCTCCAGCGAGGAGTTAAAGTTTGATGGTGTGTGGGACAACGGAGAGAAGGCTTGGTGGATATTCAGAATTTAAAAAGGCTTTTTCCATCTAGATGACGATGCTTGTTTAATTTTGAATGTTTTACCTTCAGCAGGCCTCTTCCTGCAGCCTTTACACCTAAAACATGGGTGGACTTTGGCCTAAAAACATTCTCATATATCATTTAATGTACCAGGTATATGTAAGCACACGTCTTGGGGCAAGTTGAGAGTCTTGCCTTTTGCACACAACAACTACAATCTGACTTTTTGTTGTTATTCCCCAACACAAACAGAGCAGACATTAAATAGCCTCAATCTGCAAACTTTTTAATATAACCTATATAATGACCTCCTATAGGAATAGTGCAGATAATACACAAGTGGTCAAGTGGGCCTCATGTATGCAGTCTGTATGCTTCACCCAGGCTCCACCCTTTACCTAAACCAAGTACTTCTGTTAGCTGTTGTCAGCTAGATGAGAGAAATACTAAACTGAATTATGCAGCATAAGAAACAAGTTTAGCTTTATTTATAAAGTAGGAATTATAAAGATCAGAGACAAAAAACTTGTATTAGTGCTGCAGTGCCGAAGATGGTCAAACTGTAAACGAGGAGTAAAAGTTGATGAAAACTCATTAACATACTGCGCTGAACACTGAATCTTGTAGCTTTGACAATAAAACTGAATGAGTGCCGACTCTGAGTGTCTGTCCTCAACAGGTTTTTGCAGGGATTTTCTTAGATTTAAATCAGGTAAAACTAATCCTCCTAAGAAAACCTGATAAGTTTGAGATAATGTGTAATAAAAGTGTAACAGCAGTACACCAAACGATTAAACCTGCTGAGCTGACTACAGATCATTTTATATTTAAGATGAAAACCACTCTCCTACCTGCTGCCATGTCGCAGTGCTGAATTCAGCTGAATGGAAAAGTGTCAGGACAGCCAGGAAGCAGCATGTGTGTCTGTTTGTTCAGCACCGGGTATGACATCGTATCCTTATAATCCTCTAATGAGATTGGCAGCCAGTGGCCTGGAAAGTAATAGATTACATATAATGGGATTAGCGTAATGTGACAAGTTACAGTAATTGCATTACAGTAAACTAAAGAGGACTTTGTGTGTTTTAACTCTTTGCTTTAAGTGTATTAATTTTTTTGTGCTTTTACCAATCAGAACTTATTTTGTCCCCTATTCAGTATAAATCTTTGATTTTAGGTGAAGCTTTTTCAGCCACCGATAACGCAAACGTGACAAATATTATTGAGAAAATTTATAATTTAAAGAACTGATGTGTTTAAATATCAAATAAATCTGAAACCTTGTGGGATTTTGACCAACTGGAATTTTTTTGTACTCTGGGCGTGCTTCCTTCCAGCCTCAAAGTGATTCGTGTTTCCTCCTGCGACAGGACAAGGGATCTTTCAGTTGTTAAGCAAACATCACCACAGTATGGAGACACAAATGAGTTGCTGCTACAGGCTACAGACGGATGTAATGGTAACAGCAATCTGAAATACCTCTAAAACTCACTCAGCTGTCAGATTCAGCTGTGCTTCATTTTTAAATGTTAACATTATGATAAAACTACCTGATAATTTATAAGACTGTCTTTCTGCTAATGCTGTTACTGTGAATATTAATTCCAGATCTTCAAAGCTGTCCAATTTCGGTATATTTATTGTTTTTGTTGAGTGTCGTCTCTCTCTCTCTCACACACACACACACACACACACACACACACACACACACACACACACACACACACACAGAATATAACAACTGGAAGTTTCCGGCTTTTTTAATGCTGTCAATATCTTCAATTTGAGTCCAACTGACTACTTTTTCCATCAGACCATTAGCTCTTCGTTTTATCCCCAAGAATACTTGAGAGTTTTTAATGGACTGAATGTTCAAGGCTGTTTCCGCCTTTAATGGGTTTCTGTTTACCTCCACAAGCTGCTCCGTTTGTTCCATTAGAGAAACAGAAAGAACTGGAAAAAAGTACCGGTGTCACGATGCTCTCAAAACGGACTTTAGATTTATGTTTGACTTTCAGAGCTTTGATTTATGCTTAAATTGCTTTCAACACAAAAGTTATTTGAAATAATGTGACATGCTGCAAGTGATAAGATTAAAAACTCTGTTGTATTATGATAATACTGTGAGTAAGGGCTTATCACGGGAGAACAAAAGTTCCTTTGATGTTGATGCCTTAAGCAAACCATAAGCAAACACTTCAGAACAGGTGGTGTTGGTGTGTGGGTGGTGCTTCCTTTGCTTTCACTAACTGTTAATTGCTGCATAGAGATACAGAAACTACTTGGTTAGCACAGGAAGAGATGAGCAAAATAATGTATGAATTTTGATAAATGTGACGCTATTCCATCTGTCATGACAGCAGCTGAAGTGCTGAGTTAGAGTGCAGTATGGTGAGTAAAAACACAAAAAATGTATACATTTAATTAGTACCAACAGTTGCTTTTGCATGTTTAGTGTTGAGGTTTTTTCTTTTCTTTTTCTACCCCTCATCCACCCTGACATCCTCCCCACACTAAACGACTGGCTTTCCCTCTGGGATAATTCATGCAACCACTAGAGGGTGGTGTGATTTACAGTTTTTTCTGAATTGCCAAAACACTAAATCCCATTGTAAAAACTAATCTGTCAACTATGAAAACTCTTTCATCAAATCAGTCTCACAGTTGCCAAAATCTAAACACTATTCATCTGGTTAGGACACCATTTGCAAATCTGAATCTCCCATTTACCAAAACTCTAAACACATTCTCAAACACAAAACACATTTAGCAGTGTGGTGCACTTGTACCCAGAATGGTGCACACAGGCTACAGAAGTTAAACACAACTAACACTGTTTTCATCATTAACACACTACCACTCAAAATTGAAAACACATGTTGCAACCTCTTCTGCTTTTTGCTCGATTGAATACAGCTTCATCCACGGAGATGTATTCATGAGGCCTAACCATTGAGTCAAGCTCAAAGATTCTCTGTACACAACAAACTAACTTTAGTTCTGTAAATGAATAGTATGATGTATACATGTGCTATGCATACAAGTATACTTGTAACTAAATAGTATTTTGTTTAGAACTGAAAGACGGCCACATGAGGGTGGAAGAACACGCACGCGCTCACAACACCAGGAGACACTTATTGTGGATATGGTCCGTCTGAATAATGCAGTTCGACTGCATGAAATACAGCAGTGGATTACAGAAGACAACATACATGTTGAATCTAGCAAAAAGGAGAAGAAAAGGTTGCAATGTCATAGGTCAGCGTGCCATTATTGAACTGCCTGGTCAGCGTGGTGGAAACGTACCTATCTGTGCTGCCATCAGCAGCTATGGGGTTCTCCACAGTCTGTTACTGTTGGGCCGTACAACACCGAACTTCTAGCAGCATCCCTGGAGGGTCTACGGGATGCTTTGCTCGAGTAGAGAGATCGCGAGCAGGCAGAGCTTCCCTTATCATTTGGGACAACGTGAGCTTTCACCGAGGTCCAAGAATATGCAACTGGTTGCACAATGAGCATTTTATCAATCTGTTTCTTCCACCATACTCTCCCTTTTGAACCTATCAAGGAGTTTTTCTCAGCATGGAGATGGAAAGTATACGACGAAACCCTCACACAAAGGAAAATCTACTTCAAGCAATGAATGGGGCATGGTGAGATGAGAATCTTGCCAGAGCTGGATTGGGCATGCTAAAGGATGCTTTCCTTGCTGCATCGCAAGGCAGAATATAACATATGATGTGGATGAAGTCGTGTGGCCTGACCCAGCACAGAGATGCTGAGGCAGATGAAATTATCTGAATATGCTGTAAAAATATATATATTTTTATGTATATGTAACTTTTTTATTGCAGTTTTTTTTTGTTAAAATGTGAGTACAAGAATAAATGAATGAATAGATGATATATTATTTTCCAGCTATCCCACAGTGTTTTGTGTTTATTTCTGTTTGCACACTGGCTGGTTTTGTGTGGCTTTTGACAGTAGTGGTTGATTTTGAGAAAAGTTAAAGTAGTTTTGGGTCAAATGTTTGGTTTTGCAAGACAAGTTGAAGGTTTTGTGTGTGTAGCTTGAACTTTACAGTTTGTGTTTAGTGTTTTGGGACAAAGAGATGAGGTTTTAGGAAATGTGTTTTAGCAATTCAGAAAAACTGTAATGAAACATGCAACATTTCCTGGAATTAGTGATACCATCACTCACAATGCTAGAGGCTGTTTACACAAACAATTATTAATGATTTCAGTTTCTGTCGTTTAG